AGCTGTATACCTGATGTATGGGAGGTTTATACTTGATGTATGGGAGGTGTACACCTGATGTATGGGAGGTGTATACCTGATGTATAGGAGGTGTATACCTGATGTATAGGAGCTGTTTACTTGATGTACATGTATGTGAAGTGTTTACATGATGTATGGGAGGTGTTTACATGATGTATGGGAGGTGTATACCTGATGTATAGGAGCTGTATACCTGATGTATGGGAGGTGTATACTTGATGTATGGGAGGTGTACACCTGATGTATGGGAGGTGTATACCTGATGTATAGGACGTGTATACCTGATGTATAGGAGCTGTATACTTGATGTACATGTATGTGAGGTGTTTACATGATGTATAGGAGGTGTATAACTGATGTAAGGTAGGTGTGTATCTGATGTATGGAAGGTGTATACCTGATGTATAGGAGGTGTATACCCTATGTATAGGAAGTTTATACCTGAGGTATGAGAGATGTATATCTGATGATAGAAGATGTATACCTGATGAATAGGAGATGCCTTCCTAATGTATAGGATGTATCAATCTGACGTACATATAAAAGAGGTGTGTACCTGATGTATTGGAGGTGTATATCTGATGTATATGAGGTGTGTACCTGATGTGTAGGAGGTGTATACCTGATGTATAGGAGGTGTATAGCTGATGATGGAAAGTGTGTACCTAATGTATGGGAGGTGTATACCTGATGTATAGGAGGTGCATACCTGATGTGTGGGAGGTGTATACCTGATGTATAGGAGGTGCATACCTGATGTATAGGAGCTGTATACCTGATGTATAGGAGGTGTATAACTGATGTATAGGAGGTGTATTCCTGATGTATAGGAGGTGTATACCTTATGTTTAGGAGCTGTATACCTGATGTATGGGAGATGTATACCTGATGTATGGGAGGTGTATACCTGATGAATAGGAGGTTTATACGTTATGTGTAGGAGCTGTATACCTGATGTATGGGAGGTGTTTACATGATAAAAGGAGGTTTATACCTGATGTATAGCAGCTGTATACCTGATGTATGGGAGGTGCTTGCATGATGTATGGGAGGTGTATACTTGATGTATATGAGCCGTATCCCTGATGTATGGGAGGTGCTTGCATGATGTATGGGAGGTGTATACTTGATGTATATGAGCTGTATACCTGATGTATGGGAGGTGCTTGCATGATGTATGGGAGGTGTATACTTGATGTATATGAGCTGTATACCTGATGTATGGGAGATGTATACCTGATGTATGGGAGGTGTTTACATGATGTATATGAGCTGTATACCTGATGTATGGGAGATGTATACCTGATGTATGGGAGGTGTTTACATGATAAAAGGAGGTTTATACCTGATGTATAGCAGCTGTATACCTGATGTATGGGAGGTGCTTGCATGATGTATGGGAGGTGTATACCTAATGTATGGGAGGTGTATACCTGATGTGTAGGAGCTGTATACCTGATGTATGGGAGATGTATACCTGATGTATGGGAGGTGTATACCTGATGTATAGGAGGTGTATACCTGATGTATATGAGATGTATACCTGATGTATGGGAGGTGTATACCAGATCTATTAACTGAGATGTATACCATATGTATTAACTGAGGTGTATTCATTTGGTGTATGAGAGGTGTATATGATATATATGGAAGGTGTACATCCGATGTATAGGTGTATATCAAATATCACTCATTCATCCCTGGACGTAAATTTTGCTGTAGTTTATTAAGAGAACTGAGACTTTGGGGTTTTCTTTTTTTTATTTGTAATGGGAAAAAAATCAACTTGGTTGAACTTGTCATTATGTGCATCCCCAGGGCCTGAGGGACGGAGTCCAAACTAGCTAAAAGTTTTTTTTCAGGCCCTGATTGCTAGAATCAAAACTTCATGAATGATAATGTCCTAATGTGCAGATCAAAGTGTGAATTTCACAACCCCTAGGACACCCATTTCTTCCTAGGGACTGGCTAATGCTATTCCCATCTTATCTGACAATCACCTGCTATTTGTTTTTGTCACATCACAACAAATGACAATTGTATTACAACTCATGTGGCCGTTAAGGCCCTTGGGGCTCGTGTTTTTATGTATTCTAGTTAACCCCTACTGACTTATTTGATGTGAGTTACAGGAACATGTCACATAATAAAGGTGCATAACAGTATATATTTAAAGTACTATCTATATTTGTATATACTACGAAGCCGATTTAGTTTATGTTTCCCAAAATGTATACATGCAGTATGGACATGTCCTATGATCTAGATCATACATTAATTTCTATAGAAAGATTCAAATGTCAAACGTTTCCTCTAAATATGGATTGAGTGAGTTTGCTATAGCCTGTACTTCAAAAAGACTTTAAAACAGTAACATAAATTGTTCTTTATTAATTAAAGTTGTACATTTGTGTTGTTTTTTTATGAAATATCTATCTTCGATACTATTAAAAACAATTCAAAACTAGAAATTGTTGCCAAAAATTTGACGGGCTTTTCACCGTTAGGACTGATTTGGCAATCAATAGCAATTGAAAGCAGTATGCTACTGACCAAATATCATCGCTCTTGGTTATTAAGAAGAGGCCATATTTTTAGGCATTTGACCTCCATGACCTTGAAATTCGATCAAGGTCAACCATTTTCACAAGCTTGATAGCATATCACCTGAGCATCTTTTATGGTAAATATCAAGACCCTAGCCATTGTAGAACTCATTGAGATTTTTTAAATGTGTTACCCAAAATAGCCTTTTTGAAATTTGACCCCTGCCGAAACCTAAAAGTTGACGTTTTACACACAAAAAAATGAATGAGATATGACGTCATGGCGGCCATTTTGTATTTTCAGAGAAGTCAAGAACCCACCCAAATTCGAAACACTATCTGGGGACACTTTTATGCTATAAATAATTTGAAAAATATCAAACAGATGTTGGAGAAAAATTGATTTTAAAATGTTGTCGGCATTTCAAAAAGTTTAAAGGAACTTTTCAAAAATATTGAAAAATGAAAAAGTTGAAAAATTGTTTACCTTTGACCCACCAGCGAGGATTTGTATTTGACATTTTTTGTAATATCATGTAATGAGAAACGTTAGCCCCGAAGAATATCTACAAACAATCAAATGTTTTTGAGTTATGGCCATTTTAAGATTTTGACCTATGACGTCATGGTGGCCATATTTGATTTTTGACCTACTTGAAAATGTTGCAATGATACCTTTTAACATTGACCTACAAAATTTGTATAAGACTATTAACACATCTGCAACCAATCAAAAGATTGGTGGCCATAAAATCAGGGAAGAAGAAAAAGTAGAAGAATAAGAAGAAACATAACAATTCCAATAGGTCTTTTCACCAGTTTATGAAAAGCCCTAATAAGAGATTATCAGACAATATCAAATGTGGAGTCCGGCACACTGGAATAAATATAGTTATATAATAAACGTATTTCATTTTCAATGTTATTCATATTGGATTTGGTAATACATTTAGTAAATTGCAAGATTATTTACAACCATGTCTAAATAAATTGTACATGTCCTTTATCTGTAAATTCAAAAATTGCATGAGCAAAAACTTTAAGGCATGACTTTAAGGCATAACACAGTGTAATCAATGAAAATCAACAAGCAAGACAAGATGTATGCATGTTAAATGTTGAATCAACTAATTCAGCTTTATGTCATCAATTATAATTGTATCTGTATCTGTATATGAAAAATTCTGTAAAAGTATCAACCTGAAGCTTAGAATAAAATTGCATACCTTTTACCTCTATAAGTAGACACATCTCGTGTCACGGAAACCAGGACTCGATAATAACTAAGACGAAGCAAATAACAACTCCAGAAACATATTATGGCCGAGTTTGGCATCAGAACAGCTGCGTACTGGACCAACACCATAAAAAATCCTAAGCAAACTCTCATTTTTCTCATTCTGATTGAAAAATACGTGCGAAAATCTGATAAATGATAGTGATCCTCACCTATAAGAACTATTTCGTTTAGACCAACTAAAACGCAAACTGTCTTTCGAATAAATTAATCCAGCAACGTTACAAATACTTTCCCAATTGACCTTCACTCGAGTTTCATTCGGAAAAGGATATAACTAGAGATTGTTCCAGCTATTTTAGTACATAGTAATATGTGCTTTCTAATACCAATCTTTTAAAATTTATACGTTAATATAATTAATATTTAAATATATCAACTAAATTTATGGATAACTTTTTATATTGGTATTAGTTTTATTTCATGTAGAAAAATACGCAACTGCGGGAATGCATAGTTAGCTATTCAAAGCTGCCGTTTGTCACACTTTTTTTTATAAAAAATGTTTTTGCTAAAGTTCAGCAATGGAACATAACCTAAGGAATATTTCCTGATACGGTCATAATACTGATAAGTATACTAGGTTCTAAGTATAATAGTACTTATCCGTTTGCTTTGGAAGGTGATCTTGTTGAAATGAACAATAACCCGGCGTGTTACCTATTACGCTTACATATGTATATCCTTCTTCCTGGTCTGAGTTTATAGCTAAAACGTTAGTGTATGAACAACAGGTATTATCATTCTAACGTGGATATGTGTTATATCATGCTGTCAGACAACTACCAAATGATATTCTATCGATAGAAATGGCCAGGTGTGCAGAAGTTCTGCCAACAGCGTTTGTAATCATTTTGTTGAGTATATTTCCCGGGAGTCGAATGAGTAGTAAGTGTACAGTTGCTTATATATTTAGTGTGTTTAATATCAGCTATTACTTTATTTAAATGAGATGGAACCTTGTATAGTTTTACTTGTGACATTTGATGTAGATAGCAATCAATCAATGTAAAGGGACCAAACATATTTGTAGAAACAACGATAAGTGTTTAACGTAATAAAATCGGAATTTTCAACATGACTGTAGTGATACACCTATAACAAACATTAATGATCATCTAAAAAAGTAACATAGTTTACCTAAAATGAAGACATCTGTGTTGGCTATGTAGTGATGAGTTAAAAAAGACTGCTTCAAAACAAGACAAAATAAATGTATCATGTATATTATTGGTGCTCTCGTTTGAAGTTTTAATACACTTTTCCTTTTACATTTTTTATGTTAATTAATTCTATTTTTTTATACATTTTTTATGTTACCTAATTCTATCTTTTTTTTACATATAACCCACTGCAAACACGAACTTATTCCCAATGTATCATGGCGCTAGAAAGAGAAAATGTTTAAAGAGTACGATCATCTAAAAGGTCCCATATCTTATTATTGTTTAGGGGCTGAAAGGCGACTATTGAGATAAATGGCATGTTAAGACTGCGATAAAATATAATGTAAATTCCTTGTAACAACTTTAATGTTTTATATAATAGCAAATCATAAAAATTGATACATACAATGTACGCTTACTACCTTCTTGTAAAAATACATATTTATACCGTGAGATGTTACAAGAATTTAGTCATAAGTGTTATCTTAAAAATAGGAACTGATATGATACTTCTCTTTTACACTTACAGTCAACCTAAAGAGTCAATTGACACTGGATGCAACGTCTTCGTCTCCATATTACCCGGTGTCCACGACCAAAGACGGAAAATATGGTCCTTTTTCTTCGTATGTTTGCATGGCCTCCTACGGAGCAAAAATGGTCTGGTGGCGAGGTACCTTTCCTTCTAAGGCAAGAATACATAGAATCGACATTGTATTTAGAGGTCCAGGTGAGTCGTTATTATACCACTACTAAGTGTATAGCAGTAAATTGATATGGTACGATACATATGTATTAAGGAGTGTATCTTGATGAGATGAAGTATTATGTCAATCGGCATTTCGCTCTAAGACGGCACGATTAAATATCATTAGAAGCAACACATTCAGTTTTCAAGCATATACACATAATACACTGTTGTTTTTTGAACTTGGTGAATGATTTTTGATACAGCACTTGTTTTGCAGTTTTACAAACCGTGTCAATGCTAGAGTAAGCAAACAAGACAAATACTACGCTTGCCTGTTCCCTTAATATACTTACCAGTGATTTTGACTATCCTTTTCCTGTGAACAGCAAATATACATGACAATATTTCAGAACAAAAAATGACAAAAATAAAAAAAAAACTCTATATAAACGTGCACAATGTGACAATATTGGTCATCTCACTATAGTGTGTGACAAATCGGCAGTAATGACATGGTAACTAACTTAATATTAACTCGTAATATTAGGAAAGCTAGACGACCATGATAACACCTATCGTCACTTTAAATGACAGTGTGATTTTATTTTTAAATACATTCGTATGCCTGTCATATTCGAAGTAAAATGCTTTCCTGTGATTTTTCTGTCGTACACCACACATAAGTAGTATACTACATAGTCTGTATTCATATAGTTCGCATCATTGAAAAACGTCCATGTGCGTCAGATGTGAACGTAACGATTCACTGATATTTCGTTGAATATGATATGTATAACATAGAAGGTAAACTAACGTCATTGAAATGGTACATACTTAGTTCCAGTTTGACCTTTCACCCTGATTCCTGCGCATATTTTACAGATCGTGCCGATGGTTTTGCCTTGTGGGTATCAAACGATACAGGTATACCGTCTGGTATCAAATGTTATGAGGATGTGGACGCCGGCTTCCCAAACGTAACTCAAAACATCACCTCGTGTAACAGAACCGGTCGGAGAGTGATGATAATCATCACAAGGACAGCACCAACACTAGCGTATATGGACGTGTGTGAGGTGGATGTATATGGTAATTTATAACTTGATGAGTTTCTTAATGCCAGAGATGATTTGTATACAGAATAAGAAACCGCTTATAAATTCAATGTAGGTATATCTACTTTCTAGGCTTAAATTCATCTTGCTTAGAATGCGTTCTGTTAAGTATATGGTACGGCAGTTCATATTTGTCCTGTAACACTTCTATTATTTCAAAGTACTTTTGTTTCTTTATCAATATTATCTAAAAGTCAATTTGTGAAACAATGTTCCGCTATTTTCTCACAAGATATGTGAATAATATATAAATGCATTTTGCAATTAATCTGTCAGGTTGTTTTAAACATAAATACGGTGACCAGTGTCAATACAATTGTGCCAACTGTAAACACGGCTGTGACCCTGACAATGGAGTTTGTGATTCTACACACTGTAATGCGGGCTGGACTGGACCACGGTATTGTAACCAAAGTATGTAGTATTTGGGACAAACGATTTTGCAAGCATTGTGTTAACCCCGACACGACAGACTTAAATAATTCTATAATGTTTAGTAGCGCTGGTATTGACCAGGACTTAACAATTAGAAACATAAAAATGAAGGACAAAGAATAAAAAGATACGACATCAAGGGGTTTGATTCAGTTGGTATGATGTACCACGACCGGACAACATTATGTAACAATTAGAAACTTAACTATACAAGACAGGGAAGAGCCATAATTACAGGGTTTCTACAGAATGTATAAGAGAAAAAGGGGTTTGGAACATAACACAAACAAATACTTCTACAAAATTCAGTTCTCGGAATCTTTCGCCCAACGGTACTCTTTATATTGTTATTTAAAGAAACCTCATAAAGTGCCCTGTAGGGGGAATTGTTTCTCAACATGAACTTACATGAAGTTTACTTCACAGGTGATCGGTAGTAGTAAGAAAACGTTAACAGCTTTGAATGTTATTGATTCCTAGGAAAATCCCAATAATCCTGACATTTTGGATATGCGTTTCAAAATGGTAGTTTACAATCGTCATTTTCATATTTGTGAGGAATATAACATGAAACCGATGTCGTGTTGAATAAACCGACAACAGCTTGAACAGTCGATATGTGAACGTTTCTGCACTCAGATTTAACATGCACACATATCATAACAAAAAAAAGTACATTTACATCGGTTAGATAAATATCTCTAATTATGGGTGCGGTGTAGTATATATGTATGTCAATTTCAGCTTGTTCATCAGTTACATTTGGAGAGAACTGTGTTGAGGAATGTCATTGTAAAATGCCCGTATGTAACGGAGTGACCGGGCTCTGTCAAACACCAGGATGCCAGGCTGGTTACCATGGGACTAGTTGTAGTCAAGGTTAGCCCCAGCTTTTGGAATCATAGTATACTTTGTCCATTTGCGCACAGAAATTCAAATTCGCATACATTTTACAATAACAATTATTTTTATCCTAATCAGTGTCATATCATAAAGATTATTAATTGAAAAAAGAAACATTCTGAAAAGACTAGTTGAACTTGGTAGCGTGTGTTTGTTTTCATTATATATTCACAGAACAGTAGTATATCATATATGTTGATTAAAAAGCAACAACCAAAATCAAGGTCAAAATCAAGCAATGTTTTAAATGTTTTCATATTCTATTGGATTCCTGAATTATGTACGCGTGCTTTACAATTACGATGTCACATGATATATAGGGTGTAATAGTTATATAGAGTTACGGTTCTTGTCTACCTGATAATAAAGACAAGCGCGCTATTAACTCCACCTCCTCTAAGACCCCAATGAGGTTTTAATGAATGGGTTTCATTGTATACTTCTTCAGGTGAACCACTCGGCAATTATTTCACAGTCATACAATCATATTAGGTAAATGAGAGTTCTTGTTTTTATAAGTCAGTAGAAATTAATATGTTTCATCACTTTCAGTTTGTTCGAATACAACGTTTGGCGAGAACTGCTCATCCAAGTGTCACTGTGATGATCCTGGTTGTGACTCAGTAACAGGTCATTGTAACGTACCCGGATGTGGGGCCGGCTGGAAGGGGAAGTCATGTAATATACGTAAGTTTGGGAATTCAATATGACTAACATGTTTTGTAAACAAACGTCCTGTTAAAAACTTCTTTAGTCAAATCATATCTATACATGCAATGTCAGAATAGTTGAAAGACAAGTCTAAAGCTTTTATAAATAATACAAATTGAAATACCTACTTGTTTTGTATTCCACTAAGAGGTACATTGTATAGGAAACGTTTGAATGAAATACTTCCCTTACTTACATGACATTATAACACATTATCATCAGATCTAAGCAGTTAAAGATAAAGATAACAAACACACTTTGAGTTTGTTCAGTTAAGATAAATGTTATACTGTTATGCTGGAAACAGGAAACATCGTTTAGAGATTTACTTACCATGACGCCGTAATATTTCAATTAACAACAAAGATAAACGGGAAAACCCGGAGGATGTATTTTGCGTTATCGTCATCTCTCTGCTGCCGGGTCTTGACACGTTGTTTTATGTGGGTGTGCGACAGGCTAAACTTAGAGATACAGATAATTAAAATTAAGCATTTTGTCTTAAGATAGTTTATATCTAGTTTAAAATATTATCTATTTACTGTAAATACTCTGAAATCTGTATTTCTGCCACATGAAACGAAATATCTGGAATGCAAAGAAACGTATACTGTTAATGCTAATCAGTTATGATACAATATTCTAAGGAGAAGTCACTGCTGAGCAAATAATACTCTGTTCCCAGAGCTTTGCAGTTTTCACATTAAAATATTTCCTTGTTTTTTGTTCCAATTATATGTGTAGGAAACATTAAAATGAAATGCTAACCTCCGTTACGTGACAACAAAGAATTGACATAAAGGGCAAAGTAATACCTACTTGAACCGATCGGTCATATTGTACATAATGTAGACACAAAATTTTACAAATGCGTTTCTGTTGGTCAATTAAGACCAGTATTCATAAAACTGTTCTTGTAATCAAGCTCAATTTCTGGTTTTAATCTTTTTTTTTTTTTTGTCCTTGATAAATTAACTTTTACAAAACACATTTTGTCATGGACATGTACAAAAAAGCCGAATAACGATTTTAATGTTTATCTTGACTTTTTGACCATGTTGCATGAGTTAAGCGAGTAACAAGACAGCTGATCTAAGTACAGAATTCACGCTTGAGTATAAAAAAAGGTTTCATGAATACAGGCCTAGATCTTTATCTGATGAATAATGACTAATGGATATAAACGACATCTGAAAGTTATGAGTATCCTTAATGAATAATAACGTTTATGTAATAGCTTGTGCCGAGGGAATGTTCGGTAAGGATTGTAACACTCGATGTCACTGCGCTGTACCCGGATGTGATAAGGCAGATGGAACTTGTACAGACACAAGTGCAGGCTGTTTAGATGGCTGGAATGGTTCTTCATGTAGCCAAGGTAAATAAGGGCCATTTAACTGAAACTCTGGATTTATTTTTTTTATAACTAAATGAGACCGGAGCCAATGTAAAAAAAAAAATCTGATGTTATGAATTTCCTTATTATAACTGAATCAAATCGCAGTTATTAAGATTTTAAATGCTACTTACTTTTTTGATAGCATGTGTTGCTCCTTATTTTGGAAACAAGTGCACATCACAATGTAGATGCAAAACATTCGGTTGTAACCACGTCTATGGGACATGTGCAATACCTGGATGTATATCTGGGTGGATGGGAACGTCATGCTCAACACGTAAGTACAGATGTACCAAATGTACCAAATAATTACTTTTCACCATTCACCAGATTAACATTACATGTCGTCCTTATGTTATCTGTAATCATATATGTGCGGTTTTTGTCATTACGATTACAGCATGCACAAATTTTACTATCTACAATTATGAAATGCTTACCTACAGAATGTCCCGCAAACATGTTTGGAGAAGACTGTCTCCTCACGTGTCATTGTAACACACCCGGATGTAGCCGCCTCCATGGAACTTGTTTTTCATCAGATGGTTGTAGTGATGGATACATTGGTAGCTCGTGCAGTACAAGTAAGAATTTCCATAAAATCAATAAACAATACCAGCAAAATTTAAATAAAATGAATATCGTTACATTGAGACCTCTAAGCGATTACGATGGATTTTACAAATATAACTTAACCAAAACATTTGCAATGAGATTTCCCGATAAATTTATTGATATAATATTAAACAGCTACCATGAGACCTTCGGTCAGTCAAAATTACCAAATTCTAGCAATCAATAACTTATCAGTTTCAATTAAACCTTCGTGTAGTAACGATCTTTTTTTGTAACCATGATCATTTTTTTAATAGAAAAATAGTCGTGGATATTCGTAGAAGCAAATATCTTATTGGTTTTAAAACGTAACAATGTAAATATGATACACATGTAACACACATACATTTATCTAATCAGAATGCATATCAGGACATTTTGGTGCCAACTGTACGAATCAATGTCGTTGTAAGGATGCTGCATGTAGTCATGTGACAGGAAACTGCTCTGCATCCGGATGTCTGCCAGGCTGGAGAGGTGACACGTGTAGTGAACGTGAGTATATCTTCATCAGAAGGTCGTGCAAGATTTATCTTTGATAATTCTCTTTTTCCTGTGCGTAAATGACAGAACTGTCCAGGGCAAGTGACATGCTTAATGGGACAAAAAATTAGTTGACGTCACGAAATAGGAAACATTCCGATACAGTAATGAGGAAATTTGGGTATTTTAAGTGACATCAGGGCAAATTGTAGTGATAGGAAAGAGAGAAAAATAATCGTTTATTCCAAGGGCTGTATGATAGGGACATTTCTACTCTTGGGATTAAAAAAATATGTAAAACCCTAGGCTTGGGTTTTATCAATTTAAAAACAAAAATCTAGAGTGGGAATTATCTATTCTTTAGCCCTGGGCGTGTAATATTATCATATTATCTTACCACTATTAACAACTGGCGGGTGCTTAGTGAAAAGTTTAAATTTCTTTTGAAAAAAATGAATATGCGATTTGAGTAATTCAGAATACGCGTAAAATAGAAAGATCTAACAAAGGTCGCATTGTTTCGCTTTGGGAAATACACCTAGTCATGGGGAAATAGAAACTGTTCATAGAATAGTTCAACTGTTTACTTATATAATCTTTGCTTTGAATACGTCATTTCCCCCTCATTCAATAATGACAATGGTCCATTTGTTCTCAATTTTCTTTGTCCAGTCTCCTATTTAGTATGCGGTTTTGTGAAGTTAAATTACATGTATAAGATATCACCAAATCCTATTATGTGTTTATCTCGCACTCTTTACAGTGTGTAATGTATGGTCAATCTAAAAAAAAAACGCCGTCCTCTAACAATACTTTTTGCATTAGTTTGGTCGTATCTGCAAATATTTTGTTTTTGTAGTAGATTCTTAAGATGTATTCCAACCATATTGACAAACCGATTCAATGAATAGAAAATGGACTGTAGCGGTATTAATCAAACTAGACTTCATAATCTACAAAGCTGTTTCGTTGTTATTTGGCACAGGATGTCTAAATTCATCATATGGACAAGATTGTATGTTCACGTGTGGTCAGTGTTTTAACATGACGGTGTGCAATCACGAAAATGGACAATGCAAAGAGGGGTGCATGAATGGTTACTATGGCAATTCCTGTCATTCAGGTAGATGATTTTATAAAATACATAATCATGTAGATTGTTATTAAAACACATAACCAGATAAATTGTTTATAAAATGCATAGTCATGTAGATTGTTCATAAAATACATCATCATACAGATTCTTTATAAAAAACATAGTCAGTTAGACGTTCATAAAATGTATCATCAGGTATATTGTTTATCAAATAGGTAATCAGGAAGAGTGTTCATAAAATGTAAAATGAGGTAGATTCTTTATGAAATATAAAATGAGGTAGATTCTTTATAAAATGTAAAATGAGGTAGATTCTTTATAAGATACACAATGCCAATACGGAATCTGTGCAATTTGGAATAAAAATTATAATACACATGAACGTTACAAATAAACGATCCCATTGAAACACAGCAAGATAAACAGCTAGATTTGCACTATTTAGATCCTATAATGCTTTGAGATATACAATAATTTGTTTGAAATTCACGAATTTGCTCTATTTGTGGGAAATTGAACGTTTCCGAATAGGTTATATTCAGGAGCTTAATTTGATCCAAATATGATATACAAATAATAAACAGTTTGTACGATGTTGAATTAACATGTTTAATCTGTGAGTGTTTCCATAATGAGGTTCTTGCTTATAACATTACATTTTAAATATAACTAAGCAAAATCCAATATTACGATGTAATACAGAAGAACATATTGATAAGCATATGATGATGCTTACTGCAGTGAAGCATATAGTTAAGCATATTAACGCGTTAATACACAGATCAGCCGATATCGGATAAAGACGTCACCGGAAGTGATACTGGGGGCACAGTAGGAGGAGTAATCGGAGCGTGTTTGATCGCTGTGGTAGTCATTGGTATTATAATTTTGCTGAAAAGGTAATGTATCGCATCATTTACCAATATCTTTACGCCCAAAAGAGGCTTTATCAGATGTGATATTTATCAAAAGGGTAATCGAGAGTGGTTAGATACTCTAACTGTGAATTTGTCTGAAGGAAATTACAAAGTAAATATTGTCAACTTTAATAGATTGGAAATATTGCGAACTGTTAAAACAGAAAACTTATGCTTATCCATATTGGAAATATTCATTATAATTTTTATGTTGCAATAGTCAGTGATTTTTTTCTAATCTCAGAAGACAACAGGCTGAAAGTGAAAACAGTCCTAAATACAAACCAAACACGAGGCTCTTCATTAAGGATACTGGAATGCGTAAGTTGTTTTTCATTAATGTGGACACATACTTAAAAAATCATATGTGTAAATGAGTTATGCCCCTTGTCAATTGGTCTTCAATTTAGGGGTATTTTCTTTTGTTTTATTCGAAAAGTTTCCCCGGATAATACATTGGCGTCATCATTGCTGACCACCCGAATCTATTATGTAGGTATTTGGGTATGGTGATTCTATTGCAGACTCGGGAGACGTAACCTCGATTTGGTAGAATTTCTATTTCCCCTATACTTCTTTATTATCGACTCTATATTAAATGAATACTTTAGTATGTAATTCATTTAGGATCTGAAACAAATTTACGTTTCGTTATTGAACAAGTCCAGAAGTCTAGCGAGGTTGGCTGACTCGAGTTTAAAAGAAAAGTCTGGAATATGTACCATGAGCCTCATATGAAATAGAAACGAAATATACACCGCAGATCTATTTAAACAATATTACCAACGATGCATCTTAATGTTTTTCACAAACATAAATTCGTCCGCATCGATATCGTTATGCCAATGGTCTTCAATGCAGCGTCACAATGTCATTACCTCATGTCTATTGTCATAATTCTGACATCAGAATATGTGATAGCACACGACGTACAATCGAATGATATGAGTGTCACTACATAAAAAGGTAGTAAGGTAGATAAAATGAAAATTAATATTTGTTGAACATGTAATATATAAAAAGGATCATGTACTTCACATGTATTTCCGTGACTAGATGAATGTTTACCCGAAGAGGAAAACAATGATTCTGTACAGAAACCGAAGAACTTAAATAAAGATAAAGAAAGGACGAGCATGAAGTCACCAGGGTTGAAGGACATTGACATAGACGACGAAGAAAACATGTACGCAAACTCTGGTGGAAATTTTAGTGATGTCTACGAGTCGTTTCCGATACCCGTAAAAAAATTTGGGGCTGTCTTAGAGCTAAAAGAAGCTGGCGAACTTCTGGACAAGGAATACCAGGTCATTTACGAATCAGTTGTCTATGCATTATTATATGTAATGATATACGAACAGACAAACAAAAAAACCTGTTCGATTATAGATTGACCATGTCAATCATATGAAAGGTATATTCCAATTAGTTACAAAACTTAAATTTTGTTTGTAAATGTACATGACATACTAGTCGATTACTGTTGATAACTTTTTTCGCGAGCGAATATTTGTCGTGTTGATTCTCGGGGAGATTCATTCTGTATTTCAGTCTTCTGTTAATATTAGTTACATTGAGAATTATTTTCAATTTTGAAAGAACATTCTCTCAAAAGCAAATTCTAGGATTCATGAATAGGACCTGCAAGCATATTTTGCGAATAAAAATTACACGCGAAATCAAATTGATATATAGTGCCTAACATTTTGTTAATTAAGTGAAAACCTTAAGTATTTATATTAAACACCTAGACATATCATGTTCGCTTTGATGTCTGAGAAAGTTCATGTTGTTGATCTCAATGAATTGCTTTGGTCTTTTCAGACTTTACGATCTGGTGCTGTACACCCACATGTTGAAGGGAAGAAGGAGTACAACATCCCCAAAAATAGATTTAATTCGATATTTCCGTGTACATATATATATTATTTGTTAAACTTTAAAAAGTAAAGTTTATGAATATGAAAATAAATGTGAATGTAAAATCTATTCAGTATATTAAACTTGCTTAAGGATAACCAACTTTAGAAACCTATCAATTAGCTGAATGAGTCAATGATGTAATATTTGAATAAATTATGTATTGAGATGACAGAGTATTTAATTTTGCATATAGACCAGATCACGTCCTGATGAGTGTGGTAACACATTCCCCCTAATTTCTTTGTTTATATGTAGACGACCACTCCAGGGTGATTCTCGAGGATCAGAAGTCGGAACCGGGATCTGATTATATCAACGCCAACTATATTGACGACGTAAGAACTGATTCAACAAATTTAAGTATGCAAGTAATGGCTAGGAGATAAAATACAACAATTTCATATACCAACGTTACAATCGTGAACATTTTAATAATATATATAATATAAATGTCTATATCTGTGACATTATAATAAGATATGTGATCTTATGCTCCATGGACATGTGAATGCCAGGTTTATCACAAGTCAAATATCGGTTCAATTTAATAATATATTTAAGTTTAAGTGATCGGTAAAGGAGACCTCACTGAGAATTTAACAACTCATTTAGTGAAGTGATGTCAACTGCACAGTGCAAAAATCCCATTTTTGCTGGCAGAATGTGTGTCGTTCTAGGCATATTAAACGATATGTATTATTTTTCTCATTGATTGGAACAGAAAGTCTGGTAACTATTACATGTAAGTAATACAATAAAAAAACATATTAACAGTTTACGACTTTATTTTTAGAGCACATCCAGATCAAAAGTCTACATTGCAGTGCAAGGTATCTAATTACTCTCATGCATGCCATAGCTGGACTAGATCATAATTAATATAAGTGATATTTATCTTTGGTAACTTTGTTTTAAGTAATGATATTTTATTAAAGTTTTATATATGCATATAGTCGAAAACAATTCTAACCAACGCGCGGATATTGATTGGACAATGTATTACACAAATATATATGTATATTTATATTAACTATTTTCAGTTTAACTATGTTTATAGGACTTTCATTCAATGTGTTGCTGGCATTTGGTCTAATTCTACTGTTACTATTGATTCGCGAGATATTTCTTTTTCTTCTATTTGCAGGAAGGCTCATTTGCGAATTGAACTATTTCAGTAACATGTTAACTGTGTTATTTGGTCTCAAAAACCGTTTTACTTCTTTGAAATCCGTTGGTACAGTTTTAATATATATATAAAGCAAAGATAATTGGTCTCCAAATAATGATGATAATTCAAAAAGAGTAAAATTTCAGTGTTAATTTAGACGTTATGCATTCTGATTAAATATTAAAAAACCCATATAAAGTATAATTTGTTTGGATGGAAACTTTAAATAATCAATTCCACAATTAAAAAATAAATGGTTAACACTACCTACTATCACTAGGCCCTCCCATCTTAATGACAATTGAAGGTTTTATTTATAGTCGTGTGGCACTTGTTAAATGTAAATAATGATTGTATTTATTTCGAAATTCATTTCAGTTGTTCAGGGAGTTATTATAACACGTTCTGACAATGTTTTGAATGTAGGTCCAAAGAAAAAGTTTTTCGAGGCATTTTGGCTGATGATTTGGCAGCAAAAATGTCAAACTATTGCTATGCTGGCCAATTTATACGAAAATGGAAAGGTAAGGATTGGTTAACACAACAAACCTTAAGATAAGGAAATACGCTTAACGCTTTTATCAAGATGCAATACAATATAACTTAAACGTTAAATTTACAAATTTGTTTTATTGAAATATATAGTAATTTATTATCTATCGAATTTTAAGCGTTATTCTAAAGATAATCTCACGAAAGAAAATGTTTTGTGTTTTTGTTTTAAACTATTGTATCTGAAGCAATAACACAATGTATAAAACCGAGGGTTTCTTCTTAATATCATTTAATCAGAACAAATGCTACAAATATTGGCCGAATATGGACGACCCGATCACCACGGCGACATTTGTCATCAACCTGAACTCTGAAAAACAGTACGCTTTCTACGTCATAAGGGTTATTACGCTGAAACATAGACACGTAAGTAAAACATTGATAGTTCTGTCAAGTTAACTGGATTGCAATATAGATACCAAATTAACAAATATATCGTATCTTTTCCAAGTTTACTTTATAAATGTGATAATATACACCTAGCCCTATGTATACTAGACATTCTTAAACGAAGTCCAATTCGTCCATCTCCCACATGATTTTGCATAATGATTTAAGTATTCGGGATAGCTTTACCAAAGTCGATATTTCTATTTCATCTCTTTCCTTTCACTGTTTCGTCCAAATGAACTTTGTTCATAACTCTGTGATGATATGATTGTCCTTTTGATCTAAAAATAATGCCTAATTCCCCATCAGCAATGTCCAGACATTTGAAAAGCCACCTTTGTAATTGTCAGGTCTGACGTCATTTCCAGTAGTTATTTGAATTGGCTGCATAAATTATATAGCGTAAAGTCTGAGTGGCTGACAGCGGCGCACATCTGTTAATCGGATAAAGACACATAATACTTTTTTCGAGAAAACATGCACTATCTTCGACACTCAAAGAACGAACGGTTCAAAAACTATTCACGGGGTGTTAGTAGTCATATCACATAGAACTCCCCAGGCGTATGAATAACTTTAATATATATATAGGATACTTTCTTAAAGAATTAAAATAGCATTAAGTTAGTATTGAATAATATGCATATTTCACATTATAGCAGTATAGTTAGGTTTTCTGCTGCAAAAATGTTTGTTCAATAGGGGTTAATATGTAATTCCCTCAGAAAAAAACTCTCAACGTTTGTCGATAAATTTCCTTTTAAGTGGAGCAATTACGTCTATGACTATTATTTTAAGAGAATCATTACGCATGCCGATAATTGTTTTGAAATTAAATATTTAATTGAAAACAAATGAAACGTCAAAAGTCAACGGAAGTATTTTAAACACCTATTATTTGTTGAATAACACAGAAAGGCAAAGTGCGACAAATACACCAGTTTCACTACACAAAATGGCCTGACCACGACATACCAGATGTGTTGGAACTTGTCATGTTTCACCGACATCTGCAGCGTTTACGGACAAAAGGAGAGGGACCACTCATTGCTCATTGCAGGTAGAAAATAACAAAGTATTGCATATTTTTATATATCTTTTAAATGACATCATTTAATATAACAACTTGGTACACATCTCAACATCCAACTGCAGTATATTTTGTTTAACTGCATAGATTAAATTCATTCATCGGCAACAATAAATGTTTATTGTTAAATGAAAATGGCAAAATACGTTGATAACAAACCTATCCATACTCACAACTTTTTTTTCAATAATCTTTATTACGGAGTTATCCCCCGTTGTCGATAAGTGATGCATCTGCAAATTCAACTCTGATATTTGTATACTGTTACTTTCTAAAACAATATCATCTCTATTGAATATATGTAATATTTTGTTCAGTGCAGGAATAGGGAGAACAGGAACTTTGATTGCATTGGATGCCTTGTTGGAAGCAGGGAAGACGGCAGACGTGATAGACATACATGGATATGTAACAATCATGAGGAACAATCGAATGAACATGGTCCAAACTGTGGTATGCCTTATACACGTATCATGTTCAGTGTGTTTGTTTAATAATGATACAAATGAGATAAAAGAGCGCCATAGGTAGGCAATTGATATTATAAAAAAAATGTCAGAACGGATCCCTAAATCTCTATCTAGAATCAAACAACACATCACAACCCCCTCCCCCGTATTCTAAGGGCGCTTTTGAACAATAAAAGGATAAGGAAGAAATACTCTGAATCGTTTACAGACTGTGGAATGTCTCGAGTGACTTAAAGCATGGATAAGGCTGTCGTATAGACTAACACATAAATAAAATATATCCACCAGAAAGACAGTGGGCAAGGTTGATGTGATAATCTTAATCGAAGACCATTCGACAGTTTATACTACGGAATGTCCTTATGTCTATAATTCGTATAATGCAGATTCTACATATTGCATTTACTAAACAGTACTATAACATCAACTGACATTATACATCTCGTAAATGGAACTACAAGTTTTGACTAAGAACCATGATGTCTATCATTACAGAATCAGTACAAAGCACTTCATCAGGCTCTCTTAGAAGGACTTAATTTCCCGTACAGCCTTCAAACAAAAACAGATTTCATCAGCTCCGAAGAAAGCGACATCTATGAGGTTCCTGTAAACCACACACAACGCAACAAGGAGTTTCAGGTACATCAGAGTTATTTTAGACACATTTATTTTCACCACGTTTATCTTTTCTTTATCTTTTTTATATGCTATTTAACGGCCTTTAAAATGTATGTTACAGACTCTTAAAGATGTTAATGCAATCAGTGAAAAACGTTTGGAATACGTTTCTGCAAAGTCTACAGAGAACTGGAACAAGAACCGCGACATGGATATTCTACCAGGTACACATATAATTGTATTCCTTAGCAACAGGCCTTGGCTACTCACTTACAGTGTAGTATTTTCAGTAAACATGCCCATTCTGTTGATATGTCTGAACATTTTGCTTATATAGTTTGTATAAAATTGTAACCAGCATTTTCACAGGGTAGTATTTTAGGCATTTCACTCTTGAAACAGAAATTAAGCTGACGATACAAAATATTGCTTTTACTCCGACGACATCCTCGAATTATCCAGAGGCACCAAATATTTATGGTAAAAGAAACAGAGCCTCGGTGTTATTCAACGGAAATATCGGTATCTCATGTAACAACTTATTTCGTTATCTCCACACATAGCAACCTATATGTAGGCTTACCAATTAATAACATATATGCACCAAAATGGGACATTGATGGCAATCAACGGAAGTAACAGTATTGGATATGACAAGACAAAGTTGTGAACATACATTACATTGTAATATTAAATGCGGGTATATCAATACAAATTATTCAATTATCAAGCAAAATGATTATTTCATCTATTACTTAAGACAAAGGACAAACTGTTTGTCACATTTTATTTAGATAATATATAGTAACTGTATACCAGGAAATTTTCGCCTGTCAAACATTCAACCTCCGCTCTTGAAACAAATTTTCGCCTAGTGTTAATTTCCCAAAAGGCGAAAATTGAACTGCAGCGAAAATGGCTTGGTTTACAGTAGTCACAAAATTGCAAGTCAAACTATTCAGCACCTGGTATTGCTTAAAGTAAAAAAATATTTAAAAGATGTCATGATGCGATACATTGTGTATCTACATATAAGTATATCCATCTCATTAGCTGCTGGAGACAAAATAATCATGATTCGAAATATAATTGCAAGAAAAGAAACTTATCTGAAGCATAGGGCACCAGGATTTTTTGTTTTAAGATTTTGTATTCGACTCTAAATCATTACCGAAAGCACACCTAATATCTTGTTAGAATATTGAAGTATTTTTAAGCTTTATTTTTTTAAGAAACATTCTTTGCAGGTGTGAAATATGGCTTACATAGATTTTACATAGTAACGTTTTTAGCATTCATTTTAGAGCACAATTTGAAGTCGATTAGTTATAATCTTAATCGTCCTGAAACCGGATCTAGCTTTTTTTCATATGCAAGATCTTGGGGTCGTATTTTTGATCGTAAACCAATTATCTTCCTTGGCTTACCGTCTTAGTTTGTTGTGCGGATATACCAAGAGAGCATTGACATACAATTGCGAACACTTACTAAAGTACATGTATCGTAAATACGCATTTGTATATGCTATTTTTGTTTGACAATTTTATGTAAAATATGTTTCCTTTTTTCTTGTAACAGACGACAACTACAGAGTAGTCCTATACTCAGATATTTCTCAGAGGAACAACTACATCAACGCCATTAAACTTCCGGTACGAATACATTGTGTAGTGACAAAGAATAATCATTTTTAACGTAAATATTATATGAAGGTTTGAAGGAAGATACAGTGCTTCTGTCTCCGTTATATATATGCATACATATTTTATTTATTTTTCTGTAAAATACTACACATACAAATATTTAAATTAATACATATAGGTCGGATTGACAATTGTTCATTAAGGGACTCCGCAAAATTTCCAATACTTTTTCTCGAGAAACACGAAGTTACACCCCTCGTAGTTCATGTGTCCAATGTAGTGACATCGGTCGTGTGTCGGATCAGTAATAGTATGGTCCTGAGTTCGCTCCACACAGGTATTTTTCTTTTTTTCTTTTTTCTTTTTTTTTTAAATAATAGTTTTACTACGATGTAGTAATTCGTTTATTTATCACAGTTGGTTAACATGACGTCATCAATATTTGCATAGTCAACAATTTTAGTGACGTCATCAATAAACAAGCATAGTGACGTCACAAACAATACCAGGATAAAGAAATCATCTACATACAATACATTGCAAAAATCATTGTGCATTCAAGCTGGGTTTGAGGGCTTTTATAAACATTTTTCTTTAAATTCTCTTGCAACTACATCGTCGCTATTCAGTTTGAATATGATAACATATAAAAATCATCTTTAGAACATTGATGCATAGATTTGCTAGCTTTTAAAAATCTTAGTTCATTGTCCTTCATTTGTTGTCTATGTTCATTCATTCGTGGTCTCAATTCACATTTGGTCTGTCCGATATAAAATTCACCACATCGTTAACATATTAAAGAGTAAATAACATTCTTAGAATTACAGTTAATTTCTGATCTAATTTTTATTTTAGAACCATTTGCAAAAACGTATTCTTTAGATTCAATGATAATCTTACACACACCACACCTTGGTTTCTTACATTTTTTACACCATTGACATCATTTGTGGTATTCATATCAAATTTGAATGTACATAGTAAACGTTGCAAGTTTTTAGGTTATCTTTTAGAGTTTATAATCTTCTTCTTATCAAAAATACACTTCATGTTCTCAATGTTTTTCATAAAACTCACACAATGTTTAACGACAGGAAACGGGTTACAATTATTTGGATTGTACATAGTACCAAATAGTATGATATCAGCATCTTTCTAAATTTACACTGACAGGACCTTTCTCTTTAGCTCTTTGTAAAGCATTTTGTACCACTTCAGCATGATAACGTTTAATTTTAAGATAAAGTTTCAAATCATCCAATCTATCTTCTAATATTTAGTTATAAAAAGAAATCCAAATAATTGTGAGAATCTGTAGGTTTACAATATATATCGCTAACAATATTTTGTCCTTTGATTTCTACAAAAATATCCAAGAAAGGTATTCTTTTTTTCACCAGACTCCATTGTGTTATTCAAATCGGGATGCAAAGTATTTGGCATATTTGAAAAATTCTAGAAGATTTTCACCTAATAAAGCAATCATCTAAAAATCTCAAAATGTTGTCTTTAAAATAATTTGCAAAAGTAACACCAAATGTATTTCTGAAGAAGCCCTAGAAGGCAGAAAAGCCTAGCGGAAGATTTAACAGATTTATGTTGTATTCTATATATAAATATATATTNTTATAAATATTTTCATTAGTGCAAACAGAAGAAAAAAAAAGATATTTCAGTGAAATGTATGTAATACTCCCCGAGAAACCTTTACTTTTCATGTTTGATAATATCCCAAATTGTTTGACACTTTCCAACGACCTGTAAAGAATTTGTTGTGTCATGAAATTTTATTGGATGGCATAATATCAATTAATATCAAATTTATCACAATGAAACTTTTTATTATAGTTATTATATCTTTCATATTTTTCCTTCAATAAAAAATACCATTTTTTTTTGGATTATATCTTTTTTCAATATTTCACCTGTAAAAATGCAATCAAAATTTGTTTAAAGTTCATTGGAATTGCCATATTTAAAACTGTATAAAATAACCTAATTCCTTAATATACAGTTTGATTCCCCCCCCCCATTTTGGTGAGTGATTTTAAATTGAAACAAACGTATTTCAATGTATGAACACCAGAGCTTCCGGCATCACCTGAGGTATCTAGTAACACAATTCCCTCTGAAACATACAATTGTGGATTTCTGGACCATGGTATCTGAATATCGCTCCAGTACTATCGTCTGTCTGGAGGATTCTGTAGGCGAAAAGGTTGGTTGATATCTTAACAGGAACATTTACGGATCTGCTTTTCCAAGGTAGATATTTGTTTTTGTTTTCCAGCAAATACAATTTAAAGGTCTGCCATGGGATACGTCACATTTCTGTTAACAAGCAGGAAGAGATTTCTTCGCCATTCAGTTATTTCGCTATTTATTACTGATTTAATGTTACATCTGCGTCTTATGTCTTAATTATCGTGTTATATGTTTTAACTTCCGTGTTATAGTTTAGCTATTGTGGCATGATGCTGACAACCGTGTCAAATATAATATATACTATCTACTTCGTTATAAACATTACATGTTTTTTCAACGATTTTCACGTGAATTGTGAGTGTCGTTTTAACTCTAATTGAAGACATAATCAACTGCCTGTACATTCGATAAGTGAAATGTAGTTATCTCCCTTAGACATTCAAAAGCGAGGTCGTTATTTGTTGTCATATATGCGGACTTATCAAGTGACCCTTTGAGGAACTAAATGAAGCTCTACGTACATGTATGTAAAGAAAAATTCCAAACAATTACTAAATAACCATTTCATGTGAATTTAAGAGAAAAAATATCTTTGTACATGACACCTTAATAAAATCAACATTATTATGTTCTGTTTGTAACCTCATTCGAAGCTCAAGTCTATACGACTGAAGAAATAGAATAAAAGGTAATTGAAATGTGATTCTTTATAACAGGAAATTCCGTGGTGGCCCGAAAAATCCAGGGTCAAGTATGTTGCTCCATTTGAGATACGGTCGATGTCGGTCGAACGATGTGAGGATAGCATTAATGCATCCATGTTGGAGATAAAAAACAAGGTTAATAAAAAAAATGTTGTATCGGTAATACGATTTATATAAAATAGATCAATTTTACAACAAATTGATTTCCATTTAAAAAAAAAATGAACTTTTTGTATATATTACACCAAAAACTGATATATTACTTGGTCATTATGACATAATTTCTTACAAATGTACTTTTATACTTTATATTTTTTGTTTCGTTTCAGCAAAGTAACAGTAATCAACGTGTGAAGCTGTTCCGAGTCAGTAATTGGGAAAACGATTCGTCCATTCCATCAAGTCAGACTGTCCTGTGTAAACTCCATTATTTGGTAGAGGCATGGATGATGTCTCGAGAGCAGGGACCAATCGTGGTCACGTGTTTGTGCGTCATTATTACAATTACAATATTATATAATAATCTGATATGCTCAATAACATTCATATTTTCTAGAAGCAATCCTGCTTAGAGATGGCTAACCATATTACGAGTTTATTGAGTATACCACATATGTTCTCATGCATAGTTTCATATATATATATTAATCATTTCATATTGTTTCATTTCCCCCATAAATCGCTGATTTGAGAGAAAAACATCTGGAAGACTCCTTGCGAAGTTGTTTGTTAATAATATGATATCAGAAATCTTTACTGTAAATAAATATAAAAATGTGAATGTGACTTAATGTTAAGCTATTAAACAATAACCAAGGACTACAAAATAAAAGTAATTTTAGAATTTTCGCTGAAAATAGAGATTCCATTGTTATCCTTCCGATGGCACGGTGGTTTTCCACCGTGGGTTTTCCTTCATCACGAAAACAACATTTGTTCTCTTAGCGGCGTCCTGATAAAAGCTCTGCATAGTTTATGTTTGTTGTTGACAATGTACACGCCGTTAAATAAAGATGATTTCTTAACTTATTTATTATTTATTTAAATGGAAATTTGTCTTGTTGTTAAGGGACGGAGCCAAACGCTGTGGTCTATACTGCCTTATTAGTACAACGTTGGAGAGACTGGATATGGAGTCGGATATCGACTTGTACGCTACCACAAGACAGCTGCAGATCCGGCGTCCACAATTAGTTGCTTCTATGGTATATATTTCATTAACCATAACATACAACACTAATATACATGTAGCAAAGTTATATAAATCAAAGGAGATCTACAAGATCGTTTAAGGATTTTTTGACACTTACAATATATATTTTATATTAAGAAACTGTAGGTAATATTTCATTGCTTGTCGTTAATTTTAATAATATTCTTCATGGAATTTTCCAGGACCAGTACAAATATACATGGACTGCTGTGAAAGCCTATCTTCAAACTATGGGAAACAGCTACGACCAAGAGTACCAACATGAAGAGGCAGTTTATCAGAACAATCCATGATGTGAAAGGTCTGGGTATTGTGTCTCCGGAAACGACCAACACATCACTGTTTAAGCGTTTCTTACTAATACATCGTCAAGTAAACGTTGATGATGATCCCGATTCTAATGGGATTCTGGACGTTTTCTCTCACAATTGGTGAGGACAGTTTGATTTCCCTTTTTAGTTCAGCACATTTGTGTACTTTAGATAAATTACTATGAAGATACATTTTAACTAAACTTGCTATTGTATTTACCTGTAAAGACTAATGTCATTAGTGCTATATATTCGTTTCCCCAACGAGTGATGGTTACATGTATCACGTGAATCGAGTTAGTTAATTTTAAATCACGCGAGGTATACCGAGAATTAGATAAACATGATATTCAACCACTAGTGAGTAACCAGAATGTTTACCTAATCCTGACAGATTTAAACCAATGAGCCGGAAATGTTTGGTATCCTAAAGTGGTTGTGGGAGAAATTGACATTGGCTTTAAATACTCATTCCAAGTATTGTGTTATAGTAATTCTTACTTTAAAGAATCATACTTAATAATATGTTATACTTACCTATAAGGATCATACTTGAAAATGTGTTATATTTTCTGTACAATTAAGAATCATACCTTATATTATACTCACCTGTACCGTAAAAATCTATTTTGTTAATGTGTTGTATATACCTATACTATAAATAATCATACGTATCAATGTACTTACATTATGTATAACTCACGCCGACAAAACACCGACTTCCGTCAGTGAGATGAAACCCGTAAGGGCGGATTCATGTAGGCACAAAACCCTTCAACCAACCAATGTACTTATCGTAAATATTAATATGTAACATTACCTATCATACTCATCAATGTTTTGTATTTTCTGATACTATAAAGAATTATACTTTTCAATTATTTATATTTACTAGGGTTGTCGAACAAAATTAGTTATATTTTAATCTATTTTAAAGATGCATAATTACTAATGTGCTATATTTAGATAAGATAAAGGGGTAAATTCATTGACGTTTTTTTTAATTTCAAGATAGTGCTAGATTTCCTCTCATATGGTCATTTTTCTCATAGACTCATCAACAGTACATTGCATTTAATAAGGCCAAAGAACGAAAATATATGACCGCCTAAATTGTTCATAAGCATACGTAATAATGTACCAAAGCAACCTTTCCATGAGCTAGCTTTTAATTTTACTGGAAATCATCTTAATACACACTGTATTGCTTTTTTCATATTTAACTATGGTTAGGGGCAGCGGTGGCAAAGTGGTTAAAGCGTCTGCCATTCTGCTACATGTACCACTAGCCCTTCACAACTTGGTCGCAGGTTCGAGGTCTACGAGCGACAGTCGCAAGGTACTGGCCGTAGGTCGGTGGTTTTTCCCCGGAAACTCCGGCTTTCCTCCACCACCAAAAACCTGGCACGCCTTTAAATGACCATAGCTGTCAATAGGACGTAAAACATAAACAAACCAAAGCAATAGTTTCGTTGGTTTCTAGTTTGAGTTTTATTCAAGCTTCGGTATTATCTTACTTTTAAAACTATGTATTACACTTACACAATGACATATGAAACCTGTGTACGCAGTCTTTGCATTGACACAGTTCAGCGAGAGTCACCGCATACCGGCACAACGAAAACGAAATGAACTAATGGTGTAAATATGACAAAGCAACGAACAGAAAGTGTATGCTATAGTTGTGCGACCGCACAACGCACCAAAAGTAGCGTGCGCACACAGTGCATATATCGTTAGACTGTCAATAATGGGTTCAGCTTCCGTGTAACAAAACAAGTATATAACATTTCGATGATTGATTGGAGTCTTACCTGGCTGGTGCCTTACAAAGAGAGTTGATCCATGTATGTGATACCGTATGACCGTTATGAAAACATAACTGGACGTGAGGTATTTGTTATTTGCATTCGTTTTGGTCAATGTTATCCCTTCACCTGGATTTTCACACCTTGACGAGTTACGTTAGTGTCCCGGGTGGGGAAAACTAAGGTACAAAGTGGCTATGTTTACCGGTATACGTTACCGTGTCAATACATGTATGTGTTATTTTACATCGGTCGATTTGGGTAGTTTAAAAAAAAAAAAAAAAAAAAAATTATTACTGATTTTTTTTAAAATAGAGATATAAAGATCAGCTTATATATGTAGCTAGAATATAGAAATATACTTAAAAGCAAGTTTCTATGTTTAAATACGAGGCCGTATTTATTGTTAAGCCATTTCTCGTGTAACGTTGTGCGTTCCCACAACTGTATATTAATAATAAAGAACGATTATCGACCTTTGTGATTTACTTTTGTTTCATTTCACCTGATATTAATCATCTATTTTTCAAAATAAAATCTGAACTTTAAAAAAAAAAATCTATTGTTGTTTTGTCGTCTCTATATTTGGAAATGTTTTCTGATGAATGTGATCTTCTGAGTTGATGATATGGTATAAATATATATATATAATACTTTTACTTTTGATAGTTTACTATTAATCATCAGATCATTATAAGAGTAAAAATATGATTGAATAATATCTACTAATAAACAAGTGAAACATATTGTTATTTCCTATGTTAAAAGCGCGGGCTGTAGGGGTTTTACGTAGTAATATGCTTTATGTGGGCTATCTGTCGCTTTTGTTACGTAAATATGAAGAAAGTCAGGGTTTTTTTTTTTCCTTGATTGCTCAGATATATGCAAATACAAATAGTATTATTACTTAAATTGAAAGTCAGGCACACTTTTTCCTACTTTTGGGTGCACGTCGTCTTCGTTTTAAGTTTGACCATATAGCTATCAATATACAGAAACGTATGTACCTAGTTCTTCATTTCATTAGTCTTTTATACGTGAAAAACAAATCTAGTTTAAGTCTGGTATGAAATGCTTTATTGATTAAAAATATTTTTACAAAATATTCACATAGTTATCGTTTCATAACCACAAAATATAGAAGTTTTACTTCGTTAGTACGATCACTAAAATAAAACAGTGTGAAAAATGAATGTCTTACATATTCATGTATGTAGGATTATTTAAACCATGTTCCGCTTGATGGCAACTGTCACAACACTTTAATAGTACTAAGTGGATGTAACAGAATTAACCGATTATATTTGTCGAGAGTTACTATGTTATTGCATGTAACATGTATAGAACTGGAGAAAACAAATAAAGGTTATCATATCTTGAACGAGTTAATAATTAAAGTAACACTATTTTTCCATTTCCTGTAAGGAACACAATCAAACATATACGTGTACATGAGAAATATACATTTCAATTGTATATTAGAAATCGCATAATCAATCAAGCTCTTTTTCGCATTAGTTGCGTCTTTTGAAAATACAAGGTTGGACTACTTCGAATATGGAAATCATTATTTTTACACTCGTTTTGTAATTCCAAATTTTATATGACGTTTTTTATGGAAATCTCATTTAAATGGTTCGGTATTTTCTCCATTAATAAGTTTCATCGTTGGTATTTCATAGCTATTTTACGTCCAAGCTCCGGCCGTCTTGTCATGTTTACATTTGGCGGACTTAGGGCAGAATGGTTTCTTGCTCGCTGGTTGGATATTTACAATCCGTTACCCAGACAAGAAATTTGTTATATAATCCGATTCCAAAATCAAAACGTTGGCATCCTTTTGGAAACTCATGTAATTCAACGTGATCGATCCGGTACCTCTATTGCCTTTAACAGCTGAATGCATAAAGATGGGCGAAGATGGGCGAAGATGGGCGAAGACCAAGCCAACATTTCGAACTGTCGGAAAGGTACAGTGTACAAAAAATTATAGTTGGTAACATGGCCCTGTGGCCTGTGCAAGGGAAAATCGGGGGGAAACGTTAAAATAAGTGCATGTAATATGAGCTCAAACCGTTTAATAAACTTACAAATTACTTTGAAATATTTCTATTTTTAGATGGTAAACAGAACAAATATCACTGACAAGATCAACAGTTTGGTATTTACAATGAATACTGTATATGCTAATCGCCTTCATGGTAAAAAAAACCTGTTCACATAAATAATATAACTCAAAATCAACAAGTATGGCAGCATACAAATACACTTATTTTATATTAATTATTTGTATATCACATGTAAACAATCGCACACTATTTACATCGCCAGCCTCATTTTTGCATAGCTTGCGTCGTTTGAAAATGTTAGCGAGACGGTCACATAATGTTTAAACTCCACAGTTTAAAATATAATCAGCAAGCGTTCTGGTCATAGAATTCACCTTTCCTTTCTGTATTAAGGATGATGGTCATGTATTCCGAATCTATCAAGCAATCTCGTACAGGTTAGGGACCACCTTATCCTTAGGATGCAATCTGTCATAATCATTGTCAGCTGTGGAATTCTTGGCATGTTGTTTCCCATTTTGAGTGTCAGTCTCTTCGTAAGGACCATCTAATATATAAATGGAGAGAGTGATACTTTTAAAGAACAATAGATAATAAAAGATATGAAACAATTTGCAAACAAAATAAACAGTATTACGCTTTCAATATTATCATAAAGCAAACTATGATTATCAGTGGGCCGTGCAAATGAAAAAGGAGGAGAGCTGTAAAAGTTAAGAAAATTTGTCATTTCATATCATGTTTTGAAACGAGTCGCAGTTTACCGGGACATTTTACGAAAGCTTGGCGAAATACATAAACACCTAGAGATGTTCCCTACAGCGTCTGAAATAGGAAAACTTTCAGTATTTTTGTTTTCATCTTATAACCATGTAATCTTTCTCATATAGCAAAGAATATAATGTTTGCAAGGTAATGTATCTGTATACAATTGCATCTGCGACATCGTAATTTTTTGATACGACAAGCTCACTCTTTCTCTTTGTGATATCGATCAGACATGATATGAAATCTGTATACTTGATCTTTATTTAGTTCGAAGACTTTCAAAAGGTTTTCTCATGAAACAATTAATTCACTCTGCAGTAACTTGTCGTGTAAAATTCTTCTCCTTACAAATGCTTATTTACAAAACAATTTATCGAAAAAGCACCATTTTGCCAAAGCATGCACCTCTATAGGGGTCCCCGTACAATCTTAATGTTTGTATTCCATCAAATTTCACGCATATGTTTTAATTGTTTTTTCATCGACGATTTTAAATGTATAATAATTTTCATATAAGATATCTTTGATAAACATGAATTAAGAACATAAAATGATACTAGAAATGAAAATTACCTATATCTGCCCTGAACTCGTTTGTATTGGCTTGCTGTAAGATATCAGTCATATGAACAGGGCCCGTAGTGTCTTTGTTCTTCATCGAGAGACGCCTGGTCTGTATAATAACTAAGGTGACCAAAACCAGAATGACCACTCCAAATCCAGCACCTATCCCGATTGCAGCAGTATTAATGCTGTCTGTCGCTGTGAGGTCTTTAACAAAGTCAGGATTGAGTATTTTTTAGCTATATATTGTATACCTTGAAATTTTCACCAACGGTTACCTTTCGTCTCTTTTAATCTCCGCAATTAGGGCGAATTTATCTTGAAAACAACTATTTGTACACTACATAAAATATATGAAGTACATGATAATATGTGAAGGGCGAAATTAATTCTAGGCGAATATTGATTTTACCAATAAAGTGCGAATATTTGACTGCGCGATAGTTTTCCCGGTATATATTATTTTATATCGGTAATATTAGTATTAAATATATGGAATTATTTTGGGTTTTTTTACTGATCATTCCTCAAAATAAAATGAATGCAGCTGTACTTGATTAAAACAAATTCAGAGTGTGTTGAGCATTTGAAGCACTTACGTTTTAATCTGCATCATATTTAGAATATAAAATTGGACGCAATCTACAACAGAGTTGAATAAAGGCCTGGACAATATTACGGTAAAGGTAATTGCTATAACTTACTGACCTGTACAGTGTCCATTGTTCTTGTCACACATGTTGTCCTTGCAGTTTTGTGGACAGATTTTATCACAATGCTCACCGTAGTATCCAGATTGGCATTCTGAAAGGTGAGGGAAATGCTGATATCAAATGCTATATGTGCTTGGATGTTTCCTCGTTTAAATCAATAACATAAATATAAAGTATATACCGATAAACGTCACTCAGGATGAACTAAGAGCTGTATAGGGGATGCAGCTTTAACGTCATAGAGCTTTGCATCGCATTTGCGTTCAGATTATGTTATCATTGATGCTACAAACAACACTATCAGATATTGACATCAATTAAATGTGTGCTTGAAATTTACATAAATAGCGACATAGCTAGCATATGTTAAAACATGTCTGTAAGAAGGATATAAAAGGCAGCTAATTTATTAGCTTAATTTATGCCTTGAAAAACTCAAAGAAACCTATTGATCTCAGTTCATGATTATACTCCCAAATCATTAGGGAATTAATTTTTAAATTATGTTTGTATGATTTTATATTAAAAAGTAGGCATTTCAAATTCAAATTATTTTATATAATCGGATGAGAAACTTTTCCTCTTATTTGATTGGTCAAGCCATATTAGGGAACAAACTTGACACGCATGCGCACTTTGTAGCGTCACTTCCAGCTTAAGCAGAAAAAAGTTTGCGTTCAGCCCCCACGGGAGAACTTTATTTATCTTATATATAGTTAAGCAGTATCTTATACAGCAGTTTAAGGGATCAAATTTAAACCCACCCTCTTTCCACCCTTCTAAAAAAATCATTTCTTCATTTTGGGCGGATTTTTACAACCCTACTATGGCTAAAGGTCATACTTAGATAATTAGCAAAACACTGTGTATTGATATACATTTTGTAATCTAGATTATGTAAATCAACTTGTGATCAAATGTATGTCATGTAATAACTTGTCATTAAATGTCACCTTCGGTGGCCATTTTCAGCTTCAATTTGCTGTTGGGTTATTTTTGAGTTGAAGGAGCATAAAATGATTTATTGATGTAAGCATGTACTCAAAGGTTAGCTTCTAGGATTAGACTTTCTTACATAATGACTCCACTCACAGGAGTAGATACATTCATTAGCTTTACACATACTGTGCCCAATCGTAGAAGTTATTTATTTATCATCCGTTTTATTTGTATTTATATATTCATCTATGCAATCAGACAATCAATCACTTTTCTTCTGATCTTTTTACAACTGTACATATACAATAAGAGAGAGTTCACACAACAATTTCAATAAATACATGAAAAACAGTGTTGTGCTACCGTCAAACTATCAGCAAACCGTGTTCAGTTACACATGCCGATAGCACGCATCGCTGACTGCTACTAATTTACGTGAAGGCCATACTTTAATTTTTCTGAATTAACGGAATTTCAGGCAAATATATGCCGAAATAATTGTTAAGTAAGTATATTTCCTGACTGTTTCCTGTTGATTTAAATACTACACCACACTCTTACCTTAGTACATTATAAACCAGGTTGGATTCCCCAATGGATGGCGCGAGACGGGCACAAATCTGGACGTGTGCGTCAGAGTAAACCACGTGCTCTTGTTTGCACCGTGCCGGTGTTTATTACACATCTTCATTGTTGTGTGTCGAATGTTGACTGTGCCAATCAACATTCGACACACAACAATGAAGATGTATAATAAACATTTAAATCGATTTGATGCCGCTTTCCGGTTTTGTTTTTGTTATATATATAAATATATATTTATATTAACTCAACCTGAACAATGGCCATTGTCTTGGATGCAGGTGTTGCTTTGACAGTTTTTGGGACATATCTCAGAGCAGTATAGGCCATGCACTCCCTGATCACAACCTGGAATGACAAAATTAGATACAGCGGATTAATGTTAACAAGGCTCTGGCCGCAATTGAACTTCGTAATTTTGCAGGACATGTTCTCACCCTCGTTATATATTTAACCATAACACACGCAGCTAGGTTAAATATTTATTAATAACTTATATTTTGTGAATATATTTATCTATTCAAAGTTCACAATATGTATTAAATGTTTTAAATCCGTTTAAACATACGTGCCACATCACATTTAATTAGAACGTACCGTTGCATAATCCGGTAGTTCTATCACACTCTTCGTTACAGTTATCCGGACAATTCTGGTCACAGGCAGCACCATATAGTCCAGGGGCACACTCTATAACGTACAAAACTTATCAGAGTATTACAGTGTTCGTACTGTTCATGAGTGGTTGGCGGTTGCCACGGAATGTGAATTTCAGTAAGACGTTTTGATTGCCTACTGCAAGACAACACACATGTGGTTGCAAATGCAAATAAACCACCTAAATAAGAAAAGTAAGCCATCAGCACTTCATATATCAATTGTTAAATCAGCAAAATCTTGGGAAAATATAAGGTTTTCTTAATCAAAAAAGGGTTAGGGGTATTCTTAACTGCTCTTCTGATATAAAAATATGAAGACTTTTTACTTTCTATAATTCAGAAGAACATTCAAAGATATCTGATTACACATTTGGATGATATTGTTTGAATTCGTTCTGATAAATATCAAAACGATATTTTTACATTTTTTCGTATGCTTACAAGATCTAAGCAAACAAAATCGAGCACACGGACATCAAATCTGCATTGCATTATTTTGAACTCTCTCATATTCTCCTCTTTAAAATAAGGTATAGCTAAATAAAAGTTAGTGAGAAGAAAATTTGACTTTTCAATATAACATATCCTCAATTTGTAAACACTATCGGCGATTGTTCGCAAGGAAAAAAAGGAATGCATAGAAATAACCTTCTCGTACAAGGGCATAACGTAATTAAAGGTGAAATAGGAAGGAAGTGACATTAGCACGTCTTCTTTTTTATATCTGTAAGGACAGAGATGGTTCACCTATTTTATCTTAATCAAAATTTCTCAAATGTTATGGATGCAGAAAAAAATGTAAAATATTTCAAATACATATGAAATCAAACACGAAATCAATGAAAAACAAAGTCAAAGTTAGTGTGATAGATAAACTCTTATTACTCTCATAGGATGGCAAGTTATCGTTAAAACAATGGATGGCCCCTGAGCAAATTATCTTTTTAACAATGGATGGCCCTATGCAAATTATCGTTATCACAATGGATGGCCCCTGAGCAAATTATCGTTATAACAATGGAAGGCCCTGAGCAAATTAGCGTTATAACAATGGATGGCCCTGAGAAAAGTATCGTTATAACAATGGATGGCCACTGAGCAAATAAACATTTCAAACAATAGATAGGCCCTGTCGTTANTGTTATAACAATGGATGGCCCTGAGAAAAGTATCGTTATAACAATGGATGGTCACTGAGCAAATAAACATTTCAAACAATAGATAGGCCCTGTCGTTACAAACAATGGATTGACCATGTAAAATCAGTCTGCAGTTACAATGTACATACCAGTGCATTGACCATCAGTCTGGTTACATATATTGTCCTTACAGCTTATGGATACACAGGTCTTGTCACACATGGTACCATAGAATCCAGGTTCGCATTCTAATCAGAAACATTGGTATAAAACAATAACCCAGTAAGTTACTATACAGTATTACTAGTAACGGAATAGATTAGCAATTACAGATAAGCAGACAAAACATAACAGCAAAGCTTATGTGTTCATGCACGAGTACTGAGAAACTTAGAAATAGTCGTTTGCTTGTGATATAGAAAAACATACAAGTGGTACATGTATGTCTTGCGCATTGATAATGGTACTTTTGTTAAATAAATTTACAATGTGGCATGATAGCAACATTACGGTCGCTAATAAAACTAATAAAATAAACTTAAATGCTTGTTAAATACCTGTACACGATCCACTGTACTGAAAACATGTGTTTGCCTTGCAGTTGACGGGACACCGATCACGGCATGCATCGCCACTAAATCCCTGATTACATCCTATGAGTGTCATCAAATATATTACATATAAGTTCTAAAACGCAAATTGAGGCAAGTTTTTTTTTATCAATTAGTAACAAAAGAGTTGTAGAAAAAGTGAAAACAAACATCCCTCAAACACAGGGATTAACAGTATCATAAATATTATACATCAAGTCGTTACGATTTAATATTATAAGAAAAAAGTGAAAAGTCACTCTGATCATGTATTTCTTTTAATACCTTCGCAGAAGCCAGTTTCTTTAACACATGCGTTTCCTTTACACTTGGTTGAACACAACTGACTGCAGTCATTTCCATGGTAACCTTCTTTACAATCTTCGAACGAACACCATGTTTATCGGCATTTGGGAAATAAATTAGAAAACAAAACAAACGAAAATTAGTTAATGTGTCTTAATCAAACATAAAATATTATTTAATTGATTTTTTTCTCTAAACACCTTTTGTTCAGTGACTTTTCTTTATAATTATAATTGTTCGTGACGACATCGACTTGGATTATATGCATGTGTGTTTCGTTTGGTATATGAACTGCAGCTCGGCACGATATCAAATTCTTATTTTCACGAATGCGAATGCAAGTTCTTATTTTAAGGCATATTAATGGCTATGTGAAACGATGACTTCGACAATTTTATGCCTACGAATTTTGTGGTTAAAAATGAAAATTCAAATTGCTCTCAAATCGCAATCTGATACTTATTCACATTTGCATTAAAGTTTGTGGTGGTTTTTTGCTTCAACAGTAAACTTTTTAATTAACTTTCTGTGTCAAACGTGAGACCTTTGGACCTTCATATTATAACCATGAAGGAGAGAGTGTACACGGCTCGGTTCATGTCATCGAAAGGTTAGTCATGTATATAAACATTCTTTTCTTGCTTTTTTATAAACACTGCGTAGAGAATATAACACTTACCGCAATATCCGGAGGTTTTGTTACATACAGGATCAGTACAACCAGTAGAACAGGGATCACAGAATGGACCAAAGAAACCGTCATCACAGTCTTCTATAAAGGACCAAAACATAGAGTAGAGTTTTTTTTCAGGTAAAAACTGTTTTTAATCACAACAATTGTAACCAAAGTCGTCTGTGCCTATCTCTACGCAATTGCTTAACCTGTGAACGTCACACATTATATGTATTTTGAAGTCATATTTCATGCACGATGTACTTTCATAGGACATATGCATATTTTCCCATGGTTCAAATAGTCACTTACTCATTGATTTTAATAGAATATTAAACTCTGCAGTAATTTCAGCCAATAATATTTCATGTGTTATGAGAAGTTCTTTTTACACAACCAATAACATTTTCTATGTGACGTTTCGATGACTAGTACGATATGTACACTGTCACCTTTATCAGACAAATGACCAATGAAGCGTATGCACACATAGGTGTAAAATGTGTACGAGTTGTCCATAAAATCGATGTCGATTTCGGCTACGCTGGAAACGTATGTACAATAGTTGTTATATATGTACCAAAATGACTCAATTCAGCTACGCTTTGTTAACACTTGGCATCGAATGAATGTTGTTCGTTAACATGAGTTTAACATAGAGATACTCAATCTCTTTTTATTACAACATTTCAATCTACCTGTTTTCATATGATATGAGGCTAAATGTATTGTTGAGTACGCAAAAACCTACCAAAGTCCTTCCAATTCACGTACAGATATAGCGATGAGCATTGTCTTTAAATAGCAACAAGCAATCAAGTCGTATTACCTCTGCCGGTTTCGTAGATCGTTACTTTAACAATAACTGATGGTGGCGGCTTACATTCTAGCTGTATCATAAGCAGGACGATTTTAACCTCCGCATTTTTTTAAAAGCAACATCCATGCATCCTCGACTTACAGTATTTACCTATCGCAATTGATTTTGTATTCTAGAGCTTGCTTCAAATATCGTGACTTCGGTGGTAGATGTTGACTGCTGACAGTCAAACTTACAACCCAGGGTTTCCAAAGATGCAAGTTGATGAAGTCCATGACACTCGGGGAAATATTCTAATTATGTGTGTGATATAAAGATCAATATTTTTTTTATTATTGCGGTTAGTGTGCTTCGCTTCTTTGATAATTACTCGAGGTATTGAAGTGAGAACTTGACATTACCTTGATCTGACCCAGATTTGAATGGCGTGTGTCATTCATTAAGTCAAAGACACTTAACTTACTTTGTTTTTTTTTTTTTTTTCAACTATTCAAACCAATTCAATCATCTTTTAGGGTCGAAAGATAGACTATGACGGCGACATAACGACATTACATACTTTTATATAAGTTTTGACAGTTAGAATAGAGTCAAAAGTTTATCTGATGCAGCGTAAATTAATTTTTACTTACTTGAGCATACTCCTGTCTCCTTATTGCATAACCTGTCAACACAATTTTGAGGACAAGGGGTACAACTAGAACTAGACTTAAAGAATCCATCACTGCAATCTGAAAATGAGAGTAAATCAATAGGATTATTCGTCTCCATCAGATATATGTTAATGTTATTGTGGAATCATGGAACAAACAGATCGTTTTTAAGAACTGAATTTCTTGTTGAACTAATTGTATCCCTCGACGGTTTTGTAGTGGGATAAACTTCAAAATCAAACTTACCAGTGCACTTCCCAGTTGTGGGATGACACAGATCGTCTACACATGTGGTGCTACAACGTGATGCACAGTTTCCAGCACCGTATTGCCACAAGGCACAACCTGAAATATACAACTTGTATGTACTTGCATGGATATACTTTTTGATTTAACTGAACACATCATCCTATGTTATAAAACGGAGGGCAGCTTTAAATATGAAGTTAGAGAAAAGTTCAAGTATTGATAGTGTCTAACTTTGCTGCATTACTTGTGTATATAACTTCAAACTCCTACGAGAACATACCATACCATATAGGTTGAACCCATTGCCCCTTAATCCTGACCATCGACAACAAACAAGTACGTGCATGTGTGTATACTTACGTATATTAAAGCTAATACGCGTTAGAAAGACATATCTGCACTAATTCATGCAGTTAGAATTTGTTAGATGTAGTTCGCCAATATCGTCAAATAGTTTGCTGGACCAATGCATTTTTGTGACATGTATACTAAACTACAATCCAAACGCAATACTTTCTTTTCGAGCACATATTTTGACATTAAACACTTTTGATGTTTTTCGTTTTCTCTTGCATTCAGCAACATAATTGATACCAATTTTTGTTATCACCTTCACCAGTTCTTCACTGTTTAAACGTGTGTAATTACCTAGGCTGTTGGTGACCTAATTGCAAAAAAGTGTAACCTTTCCGATTCATCTCGTTTCGCCTTTGTTGTTTTTACAACTGTATATTATGTTTTCTCTTCTTTCACAGAGTGGTTATTTTGTGCATGCTTTTCCGATTATGTTCTTGTGTATGAAGAAGGGAGTGATCTGTTGTGCTGTTTTAACTTTACAGAGTCACATTAAGATAGACTCAACAATTTCGTTTCAATGATATGTATTGTAAGACATTGCTGACTCTGCATCACCCGGTAACAATAAGGAACGACCACTCTCAATACAGAATGTAATCTGGCTAACGATATACCCATGCTTTTTTGCAATTCCGTATGGGTTGCGAATGTGTTTTTTTTTCTCAACAATGTATGGAGAAACTGTGTGCGCAATTTTTGGCCAGATCATTTTGCTTTAAATCGATTGAAGACATAGCGATTGTCTTAAAAGTCTTACTCATATAAATAATTGCCTTAACTTATTTAACAATATTTCTTTTTATCACATTATGTACTGTGTTATCCAGTGAGTACACCCATGTCATATTTGTTTACGTATTAGCTCATGTAATATGACCTAGCAGCCCTGTGATTGGTTGTAAGTTTCAATCGTTTCAATTGTGATGTCACGCCTATGACACGTACATGACGTCACAGGCTTAACCACTGGAGCCAAAATATCATGAAAATTGTCGTTTTACAGGACAAAATAGCACAAATCTTAATGATGTGATAAAAATGATCTTACACTCGTTTTCATTTCAAATGAAATTTATGAAACTTGTCACAAACTTTTCATTTTAGGTGCTCGCTAAATTGAAAAATTCTTAGACTCGTTTCATAAATCACATATGAAATGGAAACTCATGTAAGATCCTTTATTTATCAAATAGTTCAGTATAATACAATTTGTATTATTACTTCATGTTACTTTATATACAATGTTAAATAATGAAATTGTCTATAACATGTCGTTTAAAAACAAAGTAATAGTATGCCTGACATAGTGGTTAGTACATATGTCGTCATACTTAATAGTTATGAAATACTATTTGCTATTTATTAATCGATAACCATTCAAATATATATGACACATTAATCAGCATGTATGACACGTAAGATCGCATATATGTAATTAATTATTTCACTATGTACACCACCGTTATCAGTATATACTAAATGATGGAATAATCAAAAGCAAAGGAGCTGAATGGCTGATGCATCTCATACTGTATGAGGGAGAAAACTGTACAATGGTTTACCCCATGGACCAACATCTTAGAAATGCCAGGGATCACACTCCCTTACGTTATCTGCACACCATTTTGAGGGTGAGGTGCCAATACCTAACAGGAACTCAAGCCAATTGTTGAGATATAAATTATGTAAACCTTAAGTAACAGTTCAGTTAACCAATTCGATTGTCTAATAATGAGCCGTATTAATCTCGTGTTATCGTTTTCTTTTTATTATGGAACATCTTTGCAATTTCCAATTAACGATAACTAGCCAGATGCGATTCTCGTGATATGGCACATTGGAGTAGCTCGTCCTTCTGCTTTATTTTAAGTGTTTGTTGTTTAATTATTCTGCACAATTTAAATGCTGTTAATTTATTTTACAAGGAATACTTATCATCAAAGATATATCTATGTTCAAATTGAAATCATAGCAAGAAATTAATCAATGTTGATATAGATTGATATGATGAAATGAAGGATTTTGCTAAGTTTATATAATATGTAAAAGCAAATACACGACACACATTAAATAAAAGATAGTCTAAATGCGAGATGCTGGATAAGAGGAAACAACAGGTCATTTCAGAACACTCGAGGTAAACAACTTGCACGCAAAAATATTATATGTTTACTATCTCATAGTGCAGATCCTTAATTGTAGCTGTAGAAAACGTTTGCCACGCGTGGTTTAAAACCAACAGCAATAATTAATAATTCAAACAGAAATGGCGATCACTTACCCATTAAAATCGGTATTATTTTTATCAATAATTTTAAGATTAATACTTAACATAACATTTAAAAAATGTAGAAAACATTAATTTTAACAGTTGTATACTTGCTGAATTACATGGTTCGAAGAACGTTGCAGCAATCTTTAATATCATCTATGTAGTTAAAGCACCAATGATATCTCTACATGTATATTGAGATGCATCGAGGTTGTTTATTTGCAAAGTTGAAAGAGCTATTGAAGTACGACATAGTTGTAGCACATCTCAACAGATATTAGCTTACCATACACTTCCACTTCACAAAGTTCTAAAAATGCTTCATCCGAGTACCAGGCGTATGATTTCACCCGTCGGTCGTTATAGATGGTCAGATACCGAGCGACACCTGGACATGCAACTGTTTGTACCGAAAACATGGAAGCTAAGTCAGGAGTGGTGTCTTGGTAACACGCGTCTTCTGTTCTCCAGATAGTCGTGTTTGAAAAGTATATCTTGTATCCGGCTAGTCTATCAAGAACACCGTCGTCTTCTAAAAAACAGAAAAAACAAAAGTGGAATGATACTCTACTAGCCTTGTTAAAGCATCATCTAATTCACTCTACCCTTCGCTGTCCAGCGAATTCTTATTCTTATTTTATCAACCTTGAATAAGTCCAGAAACTGTTATTTTACAGATTGTATGTTAAAATGATCTATCTTGCTCATTTCATAGCATCCTTATAAATATATACCGCCATAGGTATACATATGTACTTAGTAATCAAATTGTAATTGGTATGAGGCCAAATACAATAAAATGGTATGCTTAGGTATACTCCTCTCCTCAGACGTATATATGTGAAATGAACTGGATTCTGGTCATCAAAAAGTACATGTCATCTGGACATTATATGTGATATAGACTAGACCATCATTATGAAATTGTTATTATTTTTGTCATTATATGTATACAAATCAAAGAAAAATTAAGCTTAACCCGTCTAGCAAACACTGCGTGTTCCATTAAATATTCCTCCATTGCGTGAGACCTGAGCCCCACACAGGTAATACATTGGCGAGTTAAGAAATAGTAACTATGCACATCTAGGTAACTTCCGTGAAAAGGTCAGTTTAATATCTATAAGGGCATGCTTCAATTCACTTTACATTAAACAGCACACGAAACTCTCCTTTTCGGGGACGGTGTGGTAAAGCGTAAGCAGGTATGCAAAGGCTGAATCAGTTCAGCAAAATACCAACCTTCGTTGGCTTGATATATGTCTCTGATGTACGGTACTGTAATTTTACCAATGATAAGACATGATCATTCGACAGTGTTAAATATGTAATGATTGCATGGGGTATATGGACGCTAACCTCAGTTGAAGTTGTAACTTTCGTTACTTAAGTGGAAATGCACAATATGATCATGCGCTACCGTTAACAGATCAGTTAAATGTTTGTAAAGGCATCATATCTTCGATTTAATTAACATCAAATAGACCAAAGAAACATCTGACCCTGACTTGCGTTATCATGGCCTGTACCGTTTAAAGGTATATCCGAGTGTCGTATTACGGACTAAGATTAATTAAGGGAATTGAAGTCCATGGTAATATCGTATAACAGCAGTAAGTGTATTGGAATTATATTCCTAATTATGAGAAGTTCTTTTTACGCAACCAATATTTTTATGTGACGTTTCGATGACTAGTACGATATGTACACTGTCACTTTCATCATACAAATGACCAATGAAGCGTATGCACACAAAGGTGTAAAATGAGTACCAGTTGTCCATAAAATTGATGTCGATTTCGGCTACTCTTGAAACGTATGTACAATAGTTGTTATATATGTAGCGAAATGACGCAATTCAGCTACGCTATGTTAACACTTGTTCATATATGTGCGAGAGTCATTGAGCCCCCTCCTCTCGATTTAGAACTGGCCCACTGCGGCGTATCCAGATGGCTTCCTTTATCTACCGCTTGAACAGATTGCTCTCTCTGTCTAAAACTTTGGAGTTATCCCAGTCAATCACATGGTTTTTCTGTGTGGCATGGTCTGTGATTTTCGATTTATTTATCTTGGACTCCGACTGTTTTTCAGATCTGGTCAATTTCCTACCTTCTTGGGTTTCTGTGTCTTTCCGGTGTTCACCAAGGCGGACCCCAAATTGCTTGCAGTCTCTCCAATATACGACGCGTCGCAGTTTTTGCATCCGATTTTGTATACGCATTNGTGGTCAAATCTTTCTGTGACCCCTTCTTGATTATCTCAAGTATGTCGTCAACATAACGTTTCCACAAGCTAGGCTTGCATTCTATGGGGGCAGTGACTATTGCTTCTTGCTCCAGATGTTCCATGAACAAATTGGCAACAATGGGAGACACTGGACTACCCATAGCAGTGCCGCAGCGTTGTTGATAGATGTTGTTCCGGAAACTAAAATATGTTGTTTTGAGTACAAACTCCAACAAATCCATGATGTCCTGAATCTGAAGGTTTGTGTTTTTTCGCCAGGATCTGTCTAATTCTAAGCGTTTCCGAATGATTCTAAGTGCGTCGTCAATGGGTGTGTTAGTAAAGAGAGAGACAACATCATGTGAAATAAATTCTTCGTCTCCCCGAATCATGATGGTAGACATAGCTTCCGCTAGATGTTTTGAATTCTTTACATGGTGTTCCGATTTACACACTAGCGGTCCAAGAATGTCTGCTAATGATCTGGAAACATTGTCACCAATGGACACAGATGTCTGTATTGGCCCTCGTTAATCTTGCTCTCTTGTTTAAATTTTGCTAGGAGGGCTATGAGGTATGAGACCAAGTGTTAACAAAGCGTAGCTGAATTGAGTCATTTCGGTACATATATAACTCGTACACATTTTACACCTCTGTGTGCATACGCTTCATTGGTCATTTGTCTGATGAAGGTGACAGTGTACATTTCGTACTAGTCATCAAAACGTCATATAGAAAAATGTACTGGTTGTGTAAAAAGAACTTCTCATAATTATAACCTGAAGAAAATGTTTAGATATATTCCTAACTGCTTACGATAACGTTTTATATGTAATACATAACTGATGAGCGTGACCTGAAGCTGCACGCTTAAGTTTCTTGAAAATATAATTTATAAAATGTATTATCCCTTTAAATGGTAGCCTAAATGGCTGGCTTAGCCGACTGTACTTTATAAACATAGAAATAAAAATTAAATATATATGCAATAATAAATCTTATCTTGATTTGCAGTACACTGGATTAATACTCGAAAATATTGTTTATATGCATCAATGTTGTCAAACATATTCTGGTCAAGCAGAAGAAGAGGACGTCATTACCTGAAATATAGTTCAAAACTGAATGCTAGCAAATAGTAAATCAAAATGAGAACATAAGTTTTGCCTTATTTTATGAACAAATTACTTACCAGCAATACTTATAAAGTCTTATCTCCAATTTATTTTGATGTATTTCATATTTCATAAGACAAATAGAATACTATACTTTTCTGAATTGAACTTTTAATGTTTTAATTTTAAAGCATGTTTCAGGCAAGATACATTATTTCTGTCCACCAAAGAACTTATAATCATCCATATGCATATCAGGCAATATAAACCAGTTACATAATTTACCAGAGAAAATATGTGAGGCCTCTATTTGTAGGATGAGAACTGGAATTGATGAGTTCTGGGAAAAGTTATAAACATTTTTCTGTAGCTGTTGTATTATAAACTTGCATGCATTTGTAAAAACGTTATCCTGAAAGATCCTAAGCTAAACAAATTCATGACAATACATGAGAGAGCAATATTGATATGTGACAGTGGGATAGTTCACTGATATTAGGTCAAATGCCGTAAATATAACTACATCAAGTACTTTTTATCCCACAACAATGTGTCCCACGTATTGCTTTCCTTTTTGAAGAAAAGCAAGTTGTTTACAACTTACATGAAAGGATGCAATGCAGCGCAAAGTAATTAGGTTTTTACATTTTTCTTTTATAGCACTAAGGGTTGAAATAATAACCTTTAGTGTGATTAATCAAATATTAAATGAACATTACTCTAAACCGCAGTGTTACACTAAGAAACGAATTCTTACACGAAGGTATATCATCTGATGAATAAGGGGAGAAAATCAATTTACAATTGTGTGGGTCACCACATGAAATATTTTGCGGTTGCCAGAAATCATCACCTTACAATTGGTCCTACTAGATTTTCGTATTTTGCAACACAAACCAATGTCAAAATTAATCAAACGATTGCTAAGGTAATCATTTATAAAATGAATGATATTCCAATTATATAACTTAAAATATGTGATAGTATATCAGAGGAGGCTAATTT